CTCCAGTTTACAGTGTGGAATTCCCAGTAACTGACCTCAGTATCTCCAGTTTACAGTGGGAACCCCCCAGTTCAACAGAGAGCAGCTTCACTCCTGAATCCTGTAGGTCATTGTAGCTCAGATCCAGCTCTCTCAGGTGTGAGGGGTTTGACCTCAGAGCTGAAGCCAGGGAAGAACAGCCTCCCTCTGTGACTCTACAGCCTGACAGCCTGCAGAGAGATGGACAAAAAATCTCAGATAAATAAGATCACCTCACCAATACAAGTGTTACTTTTAAGTAAATGTGACTACTTTCATACAAAGCGACTCCTTTCAATAATTAGTTAAAAGTGTGGAATATCCAGTAATACTGACCTCAGTATCTCCGGTTTACAGTTTGAATCCCCCAGTCCAGCAGAGAGCAGCGTCACTCCTGAATCCTGCAGGTAATTGTTACTCAGGTCCAGCTCTCTCAGGTGTGAGGAGTTTGATCTGAGAGCTGAAGCCAGCACCTCACAGCATTTCTCTGTGAGATTACAGCTGTCCAACCTGGAAAAGAAAACATACACATAGTTAATGGTACTCTGTATTATTAACGATGCATGTGAAAATTATATATGAATCTTCTCGTAATATATTCAGACCAATGAAACAGCTTCCACTGCAGTCGTCAGCCATCGTTCTGCCAGGTTTCCCCAAAGTAGGGCTGGATATTGAATTTCGGTACTTTTGTGGTACCGACCAAACTGCTCTGATCATATCGAGGATCGAAAATTTATTCTCTTTCGGTGCTAAATTCCGATACCGAAACGCTATCTCAGCACCTGTGAGCTAATAAGCATGCAGCATACTCGCATAAAGATGTAAAGTCGCTGCTGATTGGCTGTCTAATGTAACGTCACACAAACATGTTGTAGAGGAGAAAAGTGCATCCAGAGACAAACCTGGGAACCGGTTCGCATGTCTGTTGTTGTTTTTGTTTTTCACATAATGTAAATAATGCCTAAGAATCAAAAGTGTGGCTTCACATGTTTCCAGACTGCGACCATTTAGCTGCATTTTGTGACCATTATTGGAGACAGTGTGACTACATTTTATGACTATAGGTGCCCCTGTACCTGTGCCCTCATTTATGCCCGAATATCCCACCATATAGTTTCATTTTAAATTTAAAATAATGTTAATCTATTACTGCCTGACTAGCTGTGTCGTCACATCCTCAGCCAGGAGCAGCTGAGGCCAGCAGAGGGCGCCAGTGAGCAGTCAGAGACAGCAGTCTTCTGGAAGCTCCCAGCTCTGGGCTCCATCACATGGACACACCTGCTGACAGTAAAACTCACATACCATTTCTGTGGGGCTGGTGTGTGGCTCAGCAGGCTAAGCCTCTGTGTCTGTGGTTGGAGGATCACTGGTCAG